AGTGAGTATATATCATATAATCCCAGCTTGTTACATATGTAGTCCACTCTTCTCCGACTCAACCCTTTAGTAAATAAGTCTGCTCACTGGTTCCCTGTGTTAACATATGCAGTGTCTATCACTCCATTCAGCACTTTCTCTCTTACAAAGTGACAATCAACCTCTATGTGCTTGGTTCTTTCATGAAACACCGGATTAGAAGAAATATGAACTGCTGCCTGATTGTCACAGTAGAGCTTCATTGGAGTGTTAACATTGTATCTTATCTCCTGTAGAAGGTTCCTCAACCACACTAATTCACAAGTAGTATGCGCCATAGCTCTATATTCTGCCTTTGCACTGCTTTTCGCCACGTATGTCTGCTTCTTACTTTTCCATGTCACCAGATTACCCCTAAGAAAAGTGCAATAGCTTGTGATAGACCTCCTATCATACATAGAACCGACCCAGTCAACATCAGTATATCCTTCTATTTCAAGTTTTCCACCACTTTTGTATATCAAACCACGACCAGGAGCCCCTTATAAATACCTCACAATTCTTAGAACCACATCCCAATAAGGAACCAGAGGTTTCTGCATGAACTGACTTGCCACACTAACTGCAAATGAAATATCTGGCCAAGTAATGGTTAGGTAGTTCAGTTTACCTACAAGTTGTCGGTATCTTCCAGGGTTTTCAAATACTTCACCCATATCACTGCTCAACTTAGTATTTGTTTCCATAGTGTTTCAGCTTGTTTAGCACCTAACAAACCTGTTTCCTCCAGCAAATCAAACACATATTTCCTCTGACACAAATTAATAGCATGCTTAGACCTTGCTACTTCTATCCCCAAGAAATATTTCAATTTACCAAGGTCCTTTGTTTGAAAATGTTCCTGTAGAAAAGTTTTCAATTTACCAATTTATTAAGGTCCTTTGTCATTCCTGATAATAACAATATCATCTACATACACCACCAATAGGATTTTTCTTACCTGAGAGTCATGACTGAAGACTGAATGATCAACTTGGCATTGTTTCATACCAAACTTCTTTACCACCTCACTGAACCTACCAAACCATGCTTGAGGAGACTGTTAAGCCCATAAGTAGCCTTCTTTAGTCTGCATACCTTACCATCCTCCCCTGAGCAACAAACCCCAGTGGTTGCTCCATATAGACCTTCTCGAGCAAATCACCATGCAAGAAAGCATTCTTGATATCAAGTTGATAGAGGGGTCAATCATACATAGCAGGAAGAGAGATCACAACACGAACCGAACCTATCTTAGCAACTGGAGAGGTGTCTGTGTAGTCAATGCCATAGGTTTGGGAGTACCCTTTTGCAACCAATCTAGCTTTTAGGCGCTCTACACTACCATCAGGTAAATACTTAACAGTATAAACCCACTTACAACCGACAACCTGCTTCCCAGAAGGAAGAGTGGTGAGGTCCCAAGTATGATTATGAGTTAGAGTTGAGAGTTTTTCCATTGCACGACACCACCCTAGAGAGGCAAGGGCTTCTTGGACATCCTTAGGGACAACAACAGGGGATAACAAAGAGATGAACTGGCGATGGGAAGCGGAAATGTGAGTGAGTGAAACATAATTAGAAATAGGATGAAGGGTACAAGTGCGTTTAACTTTCCATAAGGCAATGGGAAGATCAAGATCAGATACTGGGTTTGGGGCTGGTGTGGAGACCACTGCCGGATCTATCGACTTGATGGAGCTGGAGGAGTAGCAGCCGATACATGTGGGTGATGTGTATACACTTGACAGATAGGTGACCGTTCAACAGGTGGTGGCACTGGAGGCAAGGACTTGGTCACAACTGGAACAAGGGGAACAGAATCCACAACTGGAAGTGGAAGTGGAGGCGGTGATGAGGAGGAAGAAGCATCACTGGACCCCAAGAAAAACAGAGTAGACTCAAAGAAGATAACATCAGCACACACAAAGCAACATCGAGAACTAGGATGATAACACTTATACCCTTTCTGGGTCCGGGGATGGCCAAGGAAGATGCACTTAATGGATCGTGCATCTAACTTGTCCTTCCCAGGGCCAAGATTATGGACGAAGCAAACACACCCAAAAGCTCGAGGAGAAATAGGAAACAAAGACAAGGTGGGAAACAAGGTAGTGAATGGGGAATGACCATCAAGGATAGACGTAGGCATCCGATTAATCAAGAAGCAAGAAGTAAGCACTGCATCACTCCAAAAGGGTTTGGGAACATTCATGTGATGCATGAGGGATCGAGCTGTTTCCAAAAGATGACGATTCTTTCTCTCAACCACCCCATTTTGTTGTGGGGTGTAGGTACATGAGGTCTGATGTATAATGCCATGTTGGTCCAAGTATTTTTGAAATGATGAAGAGAAATATTCACGGCCATTATCGGAACGGAAAATTTTAACATGAACACCAAATTGGTTGCGAATCTCAGCATAGAATTTTTGGAAGATGGTAAACAATTCACTCATTTCTTTCATTAAATAGAGCCACACCATCCTTGAATAATCATCAACAAAAATGACAAAATATCTATATCCATTGTCTGACATCACTTTATAAGGACCCCAAACATCTAAATGAACCAAAGAAAAAGGACTCGACACATAGTTTTCAACCCTAGGACTAAAGGGAACACGGTGATGTTTCCCCAAATGACACAACTCACAATCTAAAATAGAAAGCTGACTCAACAAAGGAACCAAAGACTTCAAAACTTTCAGCGAAGGATGACCAAATTGACAGTGCCACTAGAGAGGAGAGAGAGATGACTGGAGAGCTGTTGATGTTCTTCCACCACCATCAAGATAATACAATCCACCAGCTTCATGCCCTCCACCAATCTTCATCCCCGTCTTGAGATCCTGAAAAACACACAAAGGGTAAAAAGTAATAGAACAATTGAGTGACTTGGTCAACTTACTAACTGACGTAAGGTTAAACGAAAATTTAGGGACATACAAAATGGAGGATGTGGAACCATTAGCAAGGGTAACAGATTGTGATGTTGAGCAATGAGAGAGGGAGGAAAACACACCTGGAATTCCAATCATGTGATTGGAGGCTCTAGAGTCAATAATCCAGGGATTGGGTGTGGATGCCAAACAAGCCATACCTGAGTGTGCGAAAGTAGCCGTGTTTTGCTGAAATGTGGATTGGACAAACCTCTCATACTCATCACGGGGAACACTCACCATCTCCTTCTCGGGAACATCTGTGGATGTAGGAGGCATCTGATCAGCTGAACGACTCTCCTGTCTGAAACTGGTGTCACTAGTCATGGCATGATTGGCCCAAGTTGAGGGTGGACCATGCAACTCATAGCAATAATTAATGGTATGTCCATTCATACCACAATGAGTACATCTCCTCGGACCCGAGCCATGTCCTCTGCCTCGGGCTCCCCCTGAATCTCTACCTCCAGTACGACCACCACCATGGTTATATGTAGGTCCACCACCACCACTCCGGCCATATACCGGACCACTGCTACCACTACGGCCAGACTGATCTCCCCAAGCTCCACCTCTAACACCACGACCCCTTGATACTGCAAAGGCTGATCTATCAGAAACATTAGAGTTCTCAGTAGATCCAATAGAAGTCCTCCGAAGTTGAGCAAACACCTCTTCTAAGGAAGGGAGAGTTGACCCTCCTAGTATCTGAGCTCGCACGGGTTCATACTCAGATTTCATTCCCACCAAAAATCGAGTCACATCAAGTTGTTCTCTCTGTTTTGCTGAAGTTTGACATCAGAAGTGAGGGGGTGATAAACATTCAACTCATTACGAATGTTTCTCATACTAGCATAGTACTCCTCAAGACTCTGATTGCTCTGTTGCGGATTAAAGTATTCCTGATACAGTTGATATACTCTGGTTGTATTGTCTTGACCAGAATACAACTTCTTAGCATGGTCCTACACATCTTTGGCAGTGCCAAGAAACATGAAATTTACACTAATCTTGGGTTCCATACTATTCCATAATCACGTGATAATCTGTGCATCCTCTTGTTCCCAGTCATTATACTCATGAGAATCAATGGAGGGTTTCTCCTCCCTTTTGTGTTTCACCTTCTTCTTTGCCTTTAGAAAAACTTCTAAAGATTTAGCCCAAGGTACATAATTCTCTCCATTCAGTTTAATGGAGGTCATTTGAACATTCAGGTAGTCAGTAGGTTTCATCACATTAGATTTTCTATCACTACTATCTCCCATTGCTGAATTCTGTTAT